CAGAAATATACTCTTGTAATGAAATGGGTAAGCAGATCAATTATTCAATAAACAGTTATGTATCATGTATCAGTTATATCCTACTTTGTGATTTTTTTTGTAGTGTTCCTTCCTCGAGTACAAAGATTTTAGGCTGGTTTATAGACAATATGCTGCTCTTTTCATAGTGGTTGGAATTAATGAAACAGAGGTATGTACTTCTTACCTATGCAAAATTAAAGACAACCCTGGCTTTAAGGCAGGGTGTAGGGCCATATGCAAGTGGAAGGACCAGGGCCTGCCCCCACCAGATCACAATCTGTGAGCATGTTGCAATCGTGCTCACAGACATTTTCTGTTTTTATTTATTTACAGTATTTGCATATGATTCCATACTGAAACTGTTTCTGGAGCCGTGAACAATAAAAAGATAAAAGAATAAAAACAATGCAGGGAAAATGTCCTTTTGACTTCCAACATTTAGAAACAGTGCTAGCCAAGTTCCTGATTTTATGTGATACCCACATGGGTGCCATGCACTTCATTAAACACATTAGCCCCCACCAGGCTCCCCCTCCTGACATAGGCCAAGGACCGGGCTTCATGGGACGGCCTCTGAACTGTTCCAGGATAGACCAAAATGGGAGTGCTTGAATGGCAGGGGACAGAGATGTGCCCTGTTCGGTAGGCAGATACTTCATTTTTAAGCCATTCATCCAAGACAGCAGGTTCTGCCTAGCCCATTAAACAGCTTCATAGACCAAGGCTGTGTAAAATATATATCTAATAGATTCATGCAAATCTCTATAAAGGAGGACTAGAAGGATTGGAGGACTGGTAAAAGCAAAGTAGCCAGCAGAAATGAAATGCCCATGACTGACAGCAAGATTTGATAGTAACTGAGTTGGGTCAAAGCAAAATTTTATAGTTATTTTGGGGGGATTTTCTAAAGCATCAGTTCTGAACACCCTGCTGCATTGTTTGTCTTAACTCTTCTACCTTGCTTGGTTCAGCACCACATAAGCACCGAACAACAGTTCTATTTAGTCTGTTTGCATTTGTAACTTTAGCACCCATATTTGATGTAACTTCTCTTAAATTTTATGAGGTATTACGTGCCTATTTAGTACTTTTATGGTGAAATTTCATTGTAACTATGTTATTTTTAATTTAGAATTTAAGTATTTTATTTTTTAATCTTAAAATCAATTTTATAATTTTGTATATCTAAAACTTAAATATACTACACTGATCAGTTTTATAAGAAATGCAAAAAAATAGCAGATCTGTTCACTGTTTTGTTTTAATATGTTTTCAAATTAATTTCAGAATGAAATGGCTGTGTATGAACTGATTCATAATTTTGTGGAGGTTTTGGACAAGTATTTCAGCAGAGTGGTGAGTATGATATGTAACAAAATACAAACTTATTTTTCAGCATTTGTTGGTGAAATTGATTATACTATGATACCTACAACACCGTATTTTTTCTGTTCAGGGTGCAATCCCATTGAAGCACATGGGAACTGCTATGACTGTATCCAGTGCTTTTTTTGTAAAAAAAAAAAAAAAAAAAGGTGCCAGAACTCATGTCGCCGCTGGCAGTAAGCACTCAGCGCGCTACCACACACACTGATCCCAAGCTGAGCAGCGTCCCAAGCTGGGCGGCACAGACACAAAAGCAGCCTGCAGGCACTATGTTAATGATGTTTGCTGCTGACCTGCTATGCCGACAGGCGATTCAAAATCACTTCGTAAAATCCATCGGGAAAAAAGGTGCCGGAACCCCATTCCAGTGTGTTCTATGACAAAAAAAGCCCTGACTGTATCAAATTGTAGGCCCTGCTTTAGTGTTTCCTTTCCTTACCTTATGACTTTGCTGCTCTCTTTTCATCATTAGGCATAGTTCAGCAGAGCTTAAAGCACAGGAAAAGCCTAGCTAGGTCAGGGGTTATGCAATCAAGCGTTCTCTTCCCAAAAGGGACAACCAGGTGACTATAGAAAGCCTATAAGCAGAACAGGAGCGTTGTAGCACTCTTTTGCTCATGTTCCCTGGCAGTTGGAGTTCCGAGGTAGAGTAGTGATCAAAAGAAAACAGAAAAATCTATCCTTGCCAGTAATCCTAAATGTTAAATACAGAGCTGGAATTAGCAGATTTACAAATAAAGTCTTGATTTCAAAGCCAGGCTTTGGATGGAAAGATCAGGAAGGAGCCCTGCACATGCAGGATGCCATTATTTAGCCTCTTGGAGTGACTTGCATCAAAACGTTTATGCCAGTGCATATTAATTACATACATAAATGGTACAAATAGATATGGGATCCTACTTTTTTAGCTGCCTTTGGAAATCACAGGGAATTTGAGCAAAGGCTGAAACAGAGAATGATGACGTCTTATTTTCAGGTGCTTCATTGGATATCAGGGATATCAGGTATCAAGGTCTGATATCAAAATGCAAGCTCTGAAGATGCCATTAGATAAATATAGACTTGGAAATCATTTTTAAAAATCACAAATCTAAAAATACTGAGATGACAAAACATCCCTCTAGCAGAGGACCAATGTTGTTTTCTTTCCTACAGTTTGTTTCTTCTGTCTACTCCATTATCAGTCTACCTTGGAGCACTGCCACCAGTCTGCATACACAATATGTTAACACAGCACAGAGACTAATTGCTTGCATTGTTGTGGTTTCCACCAGCAAATTTGTTTGGAACTAACAGCCCAGCATATCAGTAGTCATTTATTTATTCAGAGTGATTCATGCTAATAAAATAGAATCAAGAATGATATAATCACCTGGCTTTTCAGCTTTCCCAGTTTTAACAATCTAGCAGTTCTGAGCAAGGCCAGTTGCTGTGGGATGGTACAACTGGTATGTTGCTATTCAACTACAACTTTTAGTCAATGGAAAATGTTTCAGAAGTAGATATGTACAGAGCATGCATTGCATCTGATATGATCACAAAGTAGCCAAAGAAAGTATGTACTTGCAAAGCAAAGAAGGTACTTGGACTAAATCATGCAGACTTTTAGACAAAAATATACAATGCTTCCTAATATAGATGATGACTTCACATGATGATGTTGGGATTTTTTACTTTCTGCATGGTGGTCCCTGACATACAGAGAGGTAGACGCACAAAGGAGAAGGCTATGGCTATAATTATCACTACATGTTCACAAAATACACCAAGAAAAATGTGAACAAAAAAGACTTGCGTAAGTCAGAACTTGTGTATTCCTACAATTTGGCATAAATGCAAAAATATTTGATTGCAGGGATTGAATTCAGGTCCTGCGCTCTTAACCACCACATCACACTGGCTGGTCAAGATAATGACCCGGTTCAGAAAACATAACAATCCACATTTGTTAATTTATTTACTTATTTTATTTTCCCCCTGAAATATCCAGAGACCAAATGTGTTTTCCACTGCCTGCAGCAATGTGGAGTGGCCATCTTTGCTGGGGAATTGGGAGTAAGCTTGCCCAGCCATTGGCGGTAGACTTGAGAGCAGACTTGTCCATGCAGATCTGCTGGACAATACACACTTGGCAAGGAGGAGCAGACATTACTGGTGGCTGGAGAGATTTACTCTTAAGCTGCTGGCAAGGATGGCCAGGGGGTGGGAACCTGCACTTCATCCTGTGTTGCTGCCCCACTTGGGGCAGTGATGCAAAGGAGATTGAGCACCCTACTTCCTCTCACTTCTGGCAGAAAGGAGTGTGTGTGTAATCTGCTCAGTGGTGCCATTTGTGGGCAGGACAGCACCACTGAGTAGATTACTGGCTTGCACCTGCTGACTTCCTGGCCAAGAGCCTTGTTTTGGAACATCAAGAGTGGGCACCTTCGTCTCCTACTTCTGGAGGAAGTGGGTGCCTGATCAGCCACCCCAGTGAGCTTCTGGGCAGCAACCTTGTTTGTTGCAGGGGAGCCTTCACACAGGAAACTTTCTTTGTGTCTGGATCCAAATCATAGTCTTCAAGCCCAAACAAGTATGAGAGAAATGTCTAGTACAATCTTCAAACCGAAAGAGGAGCACTTAGTAGGATTTTGTGCAACCAGAGCTGCCTCATCCCAGGCACAGCAGAACTTCAAAGGGGACTTGCATTAAAATAAAGAGCAGAACACCAAATGGGTGCAAAGAACAAGTGGGTACAGACAGAAACATAGTGGTCTCTCAGTTCAAAATAATACTAATGGTCACAAAGTGAAATAATACCTGGTCTGTTCTTTTGCTGAACTTGCCCTTTCTTTTTACTCTTCCAGAGTGAACTAGATGTATCCTTTTCTATTCTGTCACACTGTTTACTCTTCTTAATGTTCCTCTATGTTCCTGCCTCTGCCAGGCTTCTTAGCAAACAAGTAAGTGAAGCTGGCACCGTATATATTTATTCAGCTGCAGCCAGCAGAGGAGGAGAGTCTGAACTGTCTGACTAGTGAAAGTGATGAGGTAAGTAGCTAAAGGCCACATATATTTTCTAGAAAAGAAAACTGGCATAATTATAGATGAAAGGAGTTTTTGCTTTGGACTTAAGCTGGGGTCTCCAAGCTAGCGGGGTCACAGCTCTTGGCACCAGTCAGTTTCCTTGGCCCTCCTGCTTTTTGTATTATTAGGATTATGTAAACTTTTTAGCCAGGTGGCTGGCATGCTGCAAAGGCAGTGCTGGCCTTCAGCATTAACTTCACTTAGGTTCATAGGAGAGCCCAGAACCCACCTTCGCCTTGTACTTTGGTTCTTGAGCAAGATGAGTTTATTTTTTTAGCTTCACCTGTTTGGCATCTTGAAAATTAGGGTTCCATGACCAGCTATGTCCAACATGACAAGCACCCCATGGATGGATGAGTCCCACCTCAGTGAAGCTCTTCTGTGAGGGAACCCATGACATTTCTCGACATTCCAAAGATATAAAAATTGCATTTTGCTGCAGCTGCTGCATGGATAAGCTTGATCAGTTTTTGATAGGTATGTAGACATGGAAGCTGGGGCAAAGGAGCTGTATGAAGGAAGTGTCCTGTCCTCTAGGAAGTGGCAACTAGCTCTGAATGTGAATTGTAATTTACTTATTACTTTGTCTGAAACATCCAGAGGCCAAATCCATTCCAAGAATGGCTTACAAAGGAATTAAAAAAGCAATATTACAAAATATCTTAATAGCAGTTTTAAAAAAGCATAGCATAAAACTCCATGGCATTAAAACTCACAGCTGCTGAGAAGATTCAAAGTTAAGGATTCTTAACTTTTAAGTTAACTGTGTTTCAAAGCCTGAAAGTCTCTCCCTAGCAGGTACCACACGAGCCCTCTTGGAGACGGCTGGAAAAGGTGCTGTGCTGTAGCAGATTGGCGCAACTCTTGCCCAAGCTGAATAGCATGTCTGACATGTTCCAGCTTTGGGCAAGGAGGGGTGGGTGGACTTATGTGCAGATTTCAAGGAGAAATGAGTCATAAAAAGATTAGAACAACAATAGAAAGTTATCACAGTAGTTTTGTGCAATAAAGCTATGATCTGGGCTTAGAGTAGTTAAAATAAGCATAATTTCTTTAATATCACAGTTGTTTTTCTGCTGTAGCAGGAATTCAGCTGTGCAAGGAAAATGAGAAACAAAAGAACAATTTTTCAGGAAAGTAGGTTGACAAGAATTTTTTTCAGGATGTCCTTAGGTTGACATCCGGTGCAGCCTTACCAGTCCACTTACCAAAAAGGACCTACATTTGACAAAATATGTGTAGAATTGCACTGTGAATTTTGTAAATGCAAGTAAAGCATCCATTTTCAGAGGAAGCTAATGACTAAATACATGAATCATGGACATAGGAAGCCACCTTTTAACAACCCAGAGTACTTCGGCTATTGGGTAGAATACAAAAAAAATTAATTGGTCCATTATCTACACAAAAGTATACAGCCTCAGAAGCAACTTCTGCTGCTTCACTTACATAGCTATAACAGTTCTAATAAAACAAGGTGCAGATATTTCAGAGTTCTGCTAGTTTCAGTGCCTGAAAATAGCTAACACATCATGGCAGAGAGAAAATTATAACCTGGATCTCCTGACTTTCAACACTAATCACTGTACCACACTGACTTTTGTATAGTATTTTAGAAAACATGAAGTTTATGAATAAGCAGTGGTGTTAACTGGATATTTAGCCACTGATACTGAAACCTTTTATTTTAAATGTGTTTTCCTTTTAGACCAATTGTGCTGCAAGGGATATTGCCAAATGTGGATCTGAAATCTAATTTCAGACTAGCCATACACTCACAGAAGGGGATTTGAACATATCATGCTAAAGTTCCCCTTTGTGAAAGGGCATAGTGATAATTTGTTCTATTAGGTCATCCAAAAGACAAGCAAACACTTCACCCAAAAAGTTGTACACCTGATTAATATATACGGCTGTACCATAATCTTGAGGCTAAAAATTATTTATTTATTTAAATCCTTTATGTCCCATCTGGACTAGAAGTTCCAGGATGTTTTTTCTGGTTAATTCCCTGTTTTAATGTTTTACTTTGTGAAAAAATCCTGCATAAAAATCAGCAGTCTTTGCAGATCTACCCAACCCTCATTTAAGACACAGCAAAGAAGTGGCATCATGTAACCACAAGCCTTTCAAAGAGGGCACAGCACCTGAAAGGGCTTGGCAACAACACTGAACACTTTCCAAGAGCAACATGGGCAACTGAGGAAGGATTAGGCTGACTGGGAAGGGACTCTGAGCTGCAGGCACTTGATTCATAATAGTAGATGAAGTACCTGGTGGAATGAAGAGCAGCTAGTTGTGGAATGCTGTCCAACAGCATGGGGCTAAGTCATACCTCACTGAGAGAAAGAGGACCCTTCTTTATGCTTCAGTCTGGAGCTCCCTTCACAGCAGCTTTCTAAAACACGCGTTGTAAGATGGAACGTACAGGATATCAACCCTGAATCAAGAAAACGGGTATCAGATTTTTGAGGTCTAGTTCCTTCTTTATTCTTATTTTGAAGCTTGTTAATTGCTCCAAAAAATTGACCAGAATTTGTTTTCAAGCAGTAACAGCATCAGATCATAAAGAAAGCATGCTAGTTATGTACCAACAAAGACAGCAGTTACTGAAATATTTGATCTCTAAACAACAAGCAGCAGCATCTGGCCATAGAATGCATTCTGAGGTCAAAACTGGGACTCAGACCTCTAAGTGTCTTCCCTCCACCCGTGTAGCATGCTGTTTAAGCCTTCTGTGGGGCGATAGAAGGATGCACTCTTTCCATCCTTAATAGGATGCCCATACTTCCCCAAATTTGGAGCACTTTAGGCAGCCTCACTAGATGATACTGTTAATTATGAATTTATATTTGTAGTATTGTGTAGGACTTTTGTTTGAACAGCTCATATTTCTCAGGTAATTTGATGTGATGGCAGTTTACTGTTTATTGATTGCATTTAATGCTGCTAATAGCATATATTTTTAATAGGTGTAAGCAAAGTAGGCAAATGCTTTCCACTTGAAAGAATTCAGTGGGAACAGGAGAATGTGACTTTCTCTGAACAGTGTCTCGTTTCATGTAAAAACTTTTAACTGAAGTATAAATCAGGACTGATTTAACTTGTTGTTGGTTTGTCATAAGCAGAATTGGTCAACACACCTTTGTGAAACAGTTGATCTTGTTTTTTAATTTCATTTTTACTAATATACTTTTTCTAGTATATTGCCATGGTCTTGGCTGAGTGCAAGTTGCAACAATTGTTAGCACCATCTGTCTCTCTATTCTAATGTCCTTTATTGTACATTTTTATTTGTAGTATCAGTCACTGTGTTACAATTTTGACATAGATACAGAAAAACTCTTTATTAGAAGTTTGAATTATGTTAATCAAATACAAATTAAGTACACTGATAATAGTAATCTTTTCCAATCTAATCTTTACTGTTGTTTCTCAAACAATAATCCTTAACTTTGTATGCACAGATCATGTTCAAATTGGACAGAGTGCACATAATTTTGGATGAAATGGTATTAAATGGTTGTATTATGGAAACCAGTAAGACCAGAATTCTTGCACCTCTTCTTGTTCTTGATAAAATGGCTGAAAGCTAAGACCAAGCCAGTGAAGGATATAGTCATACAAGTTTTCGGTCACAAAGGGCTATTGAGTCTGGAGTATTCCATTTTTTTCACACATTGTAAATAAGTTGAACCTTTCATTTTCAGTCCAAAACATCACTGGTGTAAACAAGTGCCTAGCTGTCATTCTCTTCCTGTAAATTTAATTGTTCCATATTGTAATATAACAATCTGCTTTTGTGTAAGGCAGTTGAGGAAATAAACTTCTAAATGCATATCTATCTATCTGTTTTCTATGGGATAACCCTAATCTAAATTATTTAAAAGGGTGGATTGAAAAAGCTAAAAGATGGAGGCAGGTGTGCTTGAAATTATGAGCATGAACTGAACAGAACTGCGTGTGCTTAAATCACAGAACTGACCATCTTTAACATACATTGCATTTGATAAAGGGGACCACAGTCTACCAAAGCACATATGCCATCATGTGTTCTTGAATGTACCATAATATTGGTATTCCTTCTGCGACAGACTAACCTTGCTGCTTTGTAGTAGGTTACCATCCATTTGTTTATTAGAATAAAAATGGAATAGAGGATGAGGGTTATAAGAGCCGCCTTGGGTTCCTCAAAGGGCAAAACAGTGGGATAGAAAATAAATACTTTGTCCTGGGTAGAGAGGTCTTTTTATTCACTGTTATTCCTATTTGCACCCCCATCATAGATGTCCTGATAGCAGCCTCATATCTATTTTGACCTCCCTTGAAGAGAGGCTTGTGCTTGGATTGGGAAAGGTTGGCCTGAGACTGTTGACCATTAAAGGATTAGCAAAAGGGACGAAGTGACCAAATGTATGTCTCCAAATGTATCTTTCGGAGCTTCTATCTTGAGCCATGACAGGAGCATCCATTTGTCTTGGGCTTACCAGAACTTTTAAAAACCTCTGACTTAACAACCTTGCACCATCAAAGGGGATGTCAGGCTGGGCTGGATGTTCTATAGGTGGAAACAAAGAGTGTGTCTAACAGACCCACAGGAAGCAGTCGCTCTGAAAGAAAACTGAAAGGAAATTTGAAGATTTACATGCAAGAAATCATTTCATGTGGAAATTTAGTTTTATTTTCAGTTATGACAAAAAAGGGAAGAAACTACAAGCATTAATACTATTAGAACATAACGAAAACAAGGATAAAAGCCTGTTTAGTTGCAGTAACTGCTCAGAACACCATTGACTGAGGAAAATAAAAAATAGGAAAACCAAAAAGGTTTTGGCACTTGTGCTTCAAATATGCATGTGAATATGAGTAGACCGTACACCCAAATAAATATCACAGTGAAACTAATGGCTAAGGTATGTATTCAGATGCAGCAAGAGCAGTTAAGAGCTGCATGGATTAATAGGAGGTGGGTGTTTATTTTTTTCTAAAAGTGGATCATGTTAATTTGCAACTTTTAAACATCTCAGGAGCTCACCTTTTCAGTCCATTTGTTAATCCCCACGTCATGGGAATATAATTTAAAAGCATATGAGCATCTGCAATTGTCACATCATTTTCAAGCATAAAATCTCAGAAGGCAGTGAATCTATGTGGGAAGCACTCAATATTGATGGCCCATATATATATAGCCACCAAAAGGTGCTGTATGACAATACTGTGATACCTACCCTCTGCAGTATTGAAAACAGTGAAAACTCATCAACTAACCCTGTTACTTTCTCTAAAGTATACATTCTACTATCAAAACAATTCTTGCACAAAAAGGGTTTCCCTATATACAAAGCAGAATTTCCCTGAGAATGAGGTTCAAACTGCAGCTGAGATACGCCTTGTTTCTAGCAGTTGAAACTGTGAAGCCATTCCTATTAATGTAATGCCATCCAGCCAAAATAGGAATTAAACTGTATAGCTATATGCAGTTTAACTGTATAACAGCCCATGAAGGAATATTAAATAAGAGATACCTTCTGATCTTTCATACAAGGCAACAAGCCTCAATGATAGACTTACTGCATTGTTCCTCCAGTAACACTGGCGTACTCAGATGACAACAGTTTGGAAAGGCAAATTGCACTTTCCCAGTATCATGGAGAAGCAAATAATTTACCAAGGTGTTGTATATGCTCTTCCCTGAGAAGACTTATTTCATGATAGATCAAATATTTCTGGAAAAGGAAGAAGCAATCACATTTCCCTAACCATTGGAAATACCTATAGGTCCCTTAGATGACTTGGTGATTAGCAATGTCTACCTTTTGATTAAAATGAAATGTTTTGTTATTTTTGGCCAGAAATTCAGTCCTCAGTCCATAAATAGACATAACAGTAACCTGATGGAATGGAGATACAGATACAAGTGCTATAAAAAAGGATAAGGAAAGGCGTACTGGGAACATTTTTGCTCTGAATTTTGAAGATCGTAGTGTCAAACAAGCTAGGAATCTCACAAGGGGCAAAATCCACTACAGAATCCCTATGGGTGATAATTCAAGGCCTCCGGCATAATTTAATACTAATAATTTATTATTATTATTATTATTATTATTATTATTAATTTCTATGCCGCCCCTTGCCGAAGCCTCGGGGCGGCAATTTGCTATTGCTACCCTTGCCAAAATACTCCAGGTTATTTGTAATGGAGAAAATCCCAACTGTTCCCTGGAATGGATGGTCATACAACCAACTGGGAGTGATCCTAGGCTACAGCTTAAGTGGTGACCAGAAGCTACTGCAAGACAGGTTGCACTGATTATATTTTAATAATATAAAATGCAGGAGGGCCAAGGAAACTGACTGGTGATCACAGAGCTATCCCACTTTATATGTAGGTGGAAAATTGCAAAGCATGCCAGTACTGTCACATTTCAATTCCAGAGCGGACTGAAGAACTGATAAAAAAGTTGGAAGTGAACGTCAAGAGGATCAAGTATTTCCAAAATGCTGTTACAATTTAAAATAACAGAAATTCCGATGGAATGTATATTAAGATCAGGAAAGGTATCACCAGATCAGGAAATCACAGTGCAGTTACTGAGCCATGTCACAGTAGCCGCAAGGGGAGGGGATGCTTCCCTTGGAAGTCTTGTCCAAATGGGAAGAAAAACACAACTATATATAAATGGAATGCAAGCAGTTAATTAGGGATACAAGAAGTGAATATGAGGAGCGTTCAGATAAAACATGAAGATAAACATTTTTAAAAAATCAGAATCAGGAAACTGGCTACGGAAATACTGTCTCACCCCATGACAAAGAAGTTATAGGGAGATTCCTAAGAAAATGAGTGTCTTCACTGCAAATGTAAGGCAGGCACTTGTAACTAACATTTTCAGGAACCAAGTCTAAACAACTGAGGAAAATAGTGACAAAAGTTCTAGACCGTCCTTATTAGCAAATTGCAAACTAATTACTGAATCTAGATGGTATCCAAATGTTCTCAAATCAATTGTGAAATGGCTAGTTTTCTAACAAAAATATGTTTCATATCTTTAAGACTGGCCTCTTCACCAAAGAGTTGATAAGGCGCAATGTAACTCCACTTTCTAAAAAGTGATCCAGAAAAGAGCAGGGATCTAGGAAACTGCATTCCAGTTAGCTGAAAGTCTGTTCTTACAAATGCAAAAACTTGTGAAAGATAAAATTGCCAAGCATATATAAGTATTGCTGGAAAGGAATCAACATGGCCTCTGAAAAGGTCTGTCATGTCTCACTTCTTTGAGAGTGTTAACCATGTGGAAATGCAAGATTTTTTCTTTTAACTTGAGCTTCTAAACAGCTTTTAACAAAGTCCTTCATGAAAAACTCCTGAATCAGTTTAGCAGACACTAGATAAGAGAGAACCTTTTATGGACTAGTAACTGATGAAAGAACAGAAAGGAGAAAGTTGGGATCAGCATCGGGATCAGTCTTTTTAACTAGATGAATTTTGCCAACACCACCAAATTATTTGGAGCAGTTAAAACGAAAAGGGCTAGCCAAAGCTCCAAGGAAAGGGAAATTGACATTTAAAGGGGGCAAATACAGTTCCAAACGAGTGTGAAATGAAGCCTATTGGAACACCAAATCCTAATTTTATATCATTTATGTTGTTCGAGTTTGAACTGGTAGTGACTAACCAGGAGGACCACCTTTGGTAACTCAGTAAAGTGAAACACCAATGTGCTGCTGTTATGAAAAGGTGAATGCCATAAATAAAATTGCCTTTCTACAAATCTATTACACAACCATGCTTGCAATATGATGTATAGTTCTAATCACATCTCTTCTATAAGGATCCCATAGACTTGCAAAGGAAGCTATGATGATCGAGAGCCTGAAACAACACACTTTCTGCACTGTTTACTTTCAAGTGCTTTTTAGCTCCAAGAAGGGTGTGGAAAGAATGTATAAGTGGAGCCTGCCTCAGGAGACAGTTGAGATCCAGAATCTGGGTTACATTAAAGCTTGCATACATAAAGATGGACAAGGCCACCATGTACCACCAGGACCCACTATGAGTGTACACACGTGTTTGCATACACCCACACTTTCTCTTGCAAAATACAGGATAATTCAACAGTGAATTGTTAAATTCTACTGCAAACCATGTATTTTCCCAAGTGCTTATAATGAATAGTGGTACACTGGAGCCTTAATGAAGTGTATAAGAGCACTTATCTATATTCAACATTAATAGATTGCCAGCGATCTGTCACTGAATGTTGGATTTAACTTTTGGATTTAAGCTCAGCTCTTAATGTGTTGAAGTAGTAGTAGTTGGAGAGCTTTTCTGATGGCCGAACTAGAAGTAAAGTGCAGTTCTCAAATGAATTAAAAGCACTTGAAGATGAATCAGTCAGTTGGGGCTTTCGAGAAATCATTTCTTTCATAGCTGTGGTGCATATTTTTCCATTAAAAAGTATATAGCTTCCTTTATTACTGGGGTTAAACTTCACTGGAATAAAACAAAAATGTGCATCAGTTTGTGACACATGCAGTACATAAACTCATAGAATGATATAGCTTATGGGTGGACTGTGTAGGTCAAGTTCAAGCATTCGTATTTTTATGCAAATAAATCAAAGGAATTGAAGGCACTATTATACACATCAACATAGCAGAACTGGTAAAATATTAACAAGAGTCTGTTTTGTACGCTGCAAACTTTTTAATGATTATTGTTGAGCATACACATTGGAAATCTTTTTTGAACTTCAAACTGCAACAAATTAAATAAATGTTTTTAATATACAAAGAAAGTACAACCAAAAGTAAAACTTGCTTTAAAGTGTGCCTTGC